GAAATGGGAGAGTCTTCTATCCGAAGAATGTGCGCCTCGCTTTCAAAGTCGGGTTCGCTTACCGCTGCATACTGCTGCAGAAGAATACGTGAACTTCGCAAAAAGGAAGGAGATCAGTCCTTCTTAAACAGCCGCTAGAACAAAATGACTAGAACCCAAGCAGCGTCGCTTTGCAACAGACACACCAGAGATCCCAACCTACTTAACCTTCCCAGACGTCACTCATTAAACGAATACAGATCAAACCCCAAGACGCACCTAATTACAGGCATCAACGATTTTATTAATAAGCATATGCAAAATGGTATGATTATCGATAAGCACAGTCTTCAACACTAAGCCTCTTTGGTGAGAGGAAAGAGAGAGTTGTAGGACATCGAGGTGGGCTGTTTGAGGTGCCAAGGCTTCGAAGGCGAGAGTAAAAGTCTTGAACCAAGGGTGCTCGTGGATTGCAGGTCCAGGAGGATTTGATCGGATTGGCTGCACTGAGCGTGTGCAGTGAGGATAAGACCGACAAAGAAGGGTGATGGAGTCATGGGTCGCGATGTGTACTCAGGATGGAATTGGGTGCCTACGAAGAAGGGATGGTGCCGTAAGCTTGCAACCGTTTCGTCTGTCTTCTTGCGACTCCCATTTTGCGTGTTAATGGGACGTATCAACTCTCCAATCTCCATACGGTTGCCCTTTCCAGCGTCACGCCCAACAAAGGCAAATCCGCTAGATTCAAAGTCCTTTACGAAACTCGGGTTGACCTCGTACCTAGCAAATGTAAAGCCACGACATCACCTTGAGTCATAAAATCCAACTATTTACCAGTACAAGACTGAATGGGCAGCAAGCGCTAACCTATGTCGATGTCTGGCGTAAATGTGACTAGTGTTCACAAGGCGAAAGCTGTTGAAGTGCGAAAGCAAATGAGGAAAATTCTCCTTATCACTTTCAACAGCACCATCACAATCATCTATTATGTCAATACCATTATCAGAAAATGATCCTGGAGCTTGTGCTGCTCTATCAGCTTTCAAGTCATACAAGGCATGGAGGTAGTCCTTCACCACTGAAGAGACAACAAAGTTGGTTCGACGGGAGCCGAGGCGCATAGTGCCACCCATATCACCCGGATTAAATTCTGGCATGTCTATTATAACCGGGTACGGTGTGTTGGGATCGAATTCCGTTGAATTTGAATCCTAAAATGGGTTATAACGATAAACCAATAGCTATAGAAGTGTCGTCGAATATAAAAAAAAGCTCCGACTCTTGTTTCATCTAAACCGTTGTTGAGAGGGTGTTAGGAGGATTAAACAATCCGAATTTGAAGCAACTCGGTTTTACTAACTAAAACAATGACCCGATAAATCAAATTTGCAATCTCTAGTAAGAAAAAATAACTCCCCTTCCATCCAAGCACATTGCGGGCGAATTCTACCACAGCCAGCTGGAAGCCGAGACAGATACCGAGGAAGGGGATGCCGCGCTCCCGACAATATCGAATGACGGAAATTTTGCCCTCGCAGCCGCGAGGACCAAAGCCACCGGCAACAATGACGGCCTGAGCGTTGCTGATCGACAACCAAGCTTCGTGATACTGCTCAGGTGCAGAGAGCTCCATCGCCGGCTCCAAATCCTCGGAGTCAACCAAATCTATTTTCAGCTTACAATTAACGTAAGTTGCCGCATGTTCACACGCCTAGAGTAGTTAATAAGGTTCAGCTGAGTTAGGGATTGTGAAAATCACGGCTTGGGTGGTAAAAAAACACCTAACAACACAATGAACTCTTGAAAACAGAACCTAATTCAGACAGATGAACCACCAACTACCTATCGCATGCATTGTCGTAAACGGTTGCGAACATATGTACTCGCACCATTCCGACGACCGTGTACTTCATTTCAGTTAGATGAATAACCAAAAGGCTTCCTGAAGAAGAGTACAAGACTCAGCGCAGGTCCAAAGCAGATCTTGCAAAAGCAACGAGGCACCGAAACTAAATAGCAGTTGCGTGATCCAGATATCACACAAATGACCTTATGTTCCATCAATAAGTGAGGATAACTGACGCAACGGCTACGCCAGCACAGCCTGACCCAAATCATATCAATCATGGGCATAGCAGTTGTAAGAAGACCGAAATATTAACGGGAGTTAAAGAAAGGAATGCAAACGAAACAGACCTTTAAAAGCGAGAGGTACGCATCACTGAGTTTAGTGTACTTGCCCGCGACAGCAACGCGAATGGTTTCGGTGGCGTGCAGCATGTGATCGACCATAGCCTGCCAGGCAGCCAAGGGTGGCTCAGGTCCAAGCGCCTTGGGCTCGAGGTCAAAGTGATGCAAAAGAAGGGTGGATACTTTTTGAGCCTCCAAGACTAAGGGCACCTCGTAGAGATTATCCACGTCACGAGCTTGGATCACCTGAGGATTGTGGGAAAAATTAACAGACCGAAATTTATGGGAACACAATTGGCTGGTTAGACTTTGGTTAATGCGATAATATAATAGTGTTCTAAAACATGTTTTAAGTAAACAAGGCTCGGCATTAATCATCAGCGCAGAGAGTGTATCGGTATTCCATACAACGTATAGGGACGGAAAGGTAAGCGATCTGCACTGAAATGCCACATTTCCATATCGCGCGCAGACCCCACAACCTCCTTTTGCGGATTCTACATTCATTCATAAAAACAGCATGTTTCGAATCCTTATGATCGATTTGCCGAGCTGTAACAACATCATTGGAGGGTTCGTGTCAAAGATCGCTGTCGAACATAATATTATTGAGAATAATAAAACTCGGTTTTCGAAAAATTGCAATCAATTATGTAGCCCGAACTCAAATCCGATAGTGCTCTTTACACCGATATCGAATATCCCACCTAAGTAATGAGCAGAAACCACAAGTCTTCTTGAGGATCTTAAGTTGTATCGAATGGAAGCCATCCCAACGCCATATGCTTTGAGCTAAGTTTACACCTTGCATGAAAAACTGTCAGGTTTTATTAGCACAATCCAAAACAAGGACAATAAAATCAAATGCACCCACATGGTCCGCAGGAACTTGGCAGAAAAGAGCTAACTTTTCTACCACTTTTGGGGGCAACTCACAGTCGCAGCGACAGAACAGAATGTCCGCTTGCAGACCACGACCACGCAGCTCCCTTATACTGACCTGTGAAACATGAAACGAAGTAAGCAGGGACATATCAAGCCACAGGGTCAATGGAAACAAACCATTTGGAACTTATTAAAAGGTACCTTAGAAAAAATAGGTTCAAATTCACACCCCATTAGTCCCGGCTGAAAGCCGGGGCAATTACTGCGAGGCTTATAAAGTAAAATATTGATCGAATACTTACAAAAAACCTTCACACTAGCACACCTACTTGAGTGTAAAATAAGTCCCGCCTCCATAAAACGAACACTTAAAATAAGCCGAACCACCCCATGGGGAAGTAAAATTGCAGAAGTACGCACTTGCGTTGGCTTCGTTTTGGGTTCACCTACAGAGGATAAATTCGGCACCAAGCTAACGTGAGCGCAGCAAAAGTTTTTGGACCCAACACGATAGAGGAGTTGGCGAAAGGCCTCAACAAAAGGCATGGATTCGATATCACCAATAGTGCCACCAAGCTCAATCACGCAAAGGTCGGGAACCCTACCCGAGACGTCAACTGGCATTTCGGCAACTTTAATCACCCACTCCTGAATAGCATCTGTAACATGAGGGACGACCTAGACGAATGTTAAGAAAGTCAATTATTCACTTGTAGGTAATGAATACAATTAAAAAGGCTCAGAGCGAGTGTAAGGCAAACAAATTAAGCCTGAAGCAGGAGGAGCTAAACAACATTACACACGCCAGAATGCCGTGAGTATGTAAGAATACATGTGATCAGTCCCAAGACCCCATGTATATAAGCACAAGAGGAAAAACCTAACCTGGACAGTTTTCCCAAGATACTCGCCCCTCCTTTCCCGTTGAGTAACCTGCTGATAAATCTTTCCCGTTGTTATATTGTGGTCCTTGGTGAGAGTAACGTTTATGTAGCGTTCATAGTTTCCTAAGTCCAAATCCACTTCGCTACCATCATCAAGCACGTAAACCTCACCATGTTCATATGGGGAAAACGTGCCAGCGTCAATATTCAGATAGGGGTCGATTTTTATGCATGTAACCACCCAACCATTGGCTTTCATTATCGCCCCAACGCTGCTAGAAATAATCCCCTTGCCTATCCCACTTATCACACCACCAGTCACCAGCAGATATTTCATGGCCAACACCACGCGCAAGACAGAACTACACAAATCTCAAACATCCCGCCTCCAAACAACATTTGCGCTGCATTCGACATCATTGTCAAGTAGATTTAAGTAGCTGATATAAAACAATAAATTTACATAAATAATCAGCTTTTCATTTTAAATCATATTATTAAATAGGCTTTAGTTTGGAAACCACGACCCGCATGTAAGCGAGGTTTATTAAAACATAGCCTAAAATACAGTAAAGAGAAAGTCAATATTACTATAGATTTTAAAGATTTTTGGCGTGTAAAATTGCTGCGTACAAGATTTTTTGCCCATTCCTTGATCCATTCTACTCATTATACCCCTCAACCTGAAAGGTTGTCTTTCCTGAGCTATATTTATCAATTTAAAAAAGTTGAGAAAGGTGCAATCTTAACAGAAGTGTATTAGTAGGTACTAACTCGCTTAATGAACTTCTATGCTCCTGTTATCCAGGAGAATCGTATCGATATGCTCCATGTCCGAAGGACTTCTTCATACAAACCGGGTAGTACTTAAATCTCATCTTTTCCAGCGCACCCCTTTCCCAGTGCTAATACTGTAAGTTGCGTCTAAATTTTCTTTTTAGTTAGTTCTTTACTTCTGTTAGCACGGTGAGGCGGCTGTGCATTGTTGCAGCTTGCTGCAGTCGCGGTTCAATGGCTGGACGTGGAGCTGGAATTCGGGTGGTGGACTTTGTAATATACTAGTGTTTACGTTTGCCTTCATAGAAGAGTGGCGAAAATTCCATTCGAACGCGAGTCCCGTGCGAGAGGATCGTGAGATTTCCTCTTCGTGTGATATCTGTTACCTGGTTCATCTATACGCCCAACCCCGTTCTTCCTGTAATCAATGCCTAATTAATCTTTTGCAACGACCCTCTCTTGAAGTCCGTGGTTCAAAAGCATGAGGCTAAGCTGGCAGTTTCTACAGACTTAACCTATAAAATTTAAAGGTGATCAACTTTGCAGCTGACGCCAGTCAAACTGCCTACCGTATTACTTCTTTGGCTTTATGTATGGCAGTCGTAATCGTCTACATGCGGTGATGAAAGCCGGCCCCTTGCTCTTTTACAGATGTGGCGCGTGATTCAATGCATCGGCTGCTGTTTGATCCGTGTTCAGGCAGTAAGTACCAGGGGACTTTCGTATTTCACAACCCGTGAGCATTTTGAGTCCTGAAACGCCAGTTGATCAGTTGACTATGGCCGTGGATGTGGAAAAGGAGCAGGGTCTATTCTTAAATCACATTCTTTGGTTGGTGCCTTCATTGTGGAAGCTTTTGGCAATTCAATCGCCGTACGATTTGTTAGCTCCACTTCTCTATTGCTTTGCGGTCGAGAATGAGTGTTGGGGACGTGCTGGAAGAGTAAGAGTTACAATTCGCTACTGAAGGAGGAGATAGCGACTAAGTTTTGTGGTCTTAAACCAAGCTTCAGAGTCCCTGGCATCTTTGAAAGGGAGGGACTCATTGGCGCTGCTAATAGTGCAGTATTTTCCCATTTGCTAATTTTTCGAGCGGACAGCAAACAATTACCTGTTAGATTAGCGAAAATTAGTCCAAGTTTAAAAGGATTAAGATGTTGAAGGCTTCTTTTAGCTGGGATTTTGCTCCTTATCGTAGACAGAAGCAAATGCATGTGATGAGATTTTCACTGCGTATGGCGCAAAGTATATAGGATCTCCGTGAGGATGTATAAAATTGGTTGACTGTTTCATAGGCTCCTAATAGGTATCCTTTTAAGGGTGCTGTTCCATGTTTTTTGCTGATTAAGGGTGTTCAAGAGAGGTTAAGTTAAGGGTTCGTTGGTGTATTTGGTGGTTCCTTCGGATGAGAGTGCCTCAGAGGTAAACAAATCTTAATAGTATCGGAAAATCCAAAGAACTTTTAAAAGTGGGAAGTAGCTAATCATTCTATTTTTAGTGTGTTTACCTCTTTAGAACCTGGTTCTCATTTGCTCCAGGTTCCGGTTGATTGTTTTGTAGTTGTCAAGTTTGTCAAATAAATCTAACCTTAAAGGGGATTTTGCTATCCATACAATGAATTATTTCAGTTAAACTACTTATTTTTAGGTGCACTCAGACACTTTTAATGCTTTTCGGGTTAGTAATTTTGTTTGTCTTTTCGTTATCTTTTCACTGAGCGAAATGCTGGTCTCTTATTATTGATGCTCTATACGATCTTGCATCATTCCACTTTTGTCTGTTCCAAAAGTCCAAAGGCTATCAATGACAACGGTGTATCTACTGGTTTGATTGGAAGCATACCTTGGAATTGGAACGAAACGTCACCTTTTAAATGTCAACCATTCTATTCACATGGAAGATTGAACTCAAGGGGTACAGTCTTAAGGCATTGTTGTGTTGGTCGTAGGGATGATAAAAATAAATGTGTAGCGAAATTCCTCCCACTTATGCTTTAAACTATTGTGAAAGTGCCATAAGGAATGCCCGACCATCAGTCCCCTCCCCCAACCCCTGCGATGCAGGTTGCACCGCAGAGTAGGCCACAAGTGAAGTGTTTAAGTGTTGTGGGTTCTGAAAAGGCAGGGGCACCTGCCACCACTTTCGCTGCTAAAACATGCAAGTACAAAAGTTTTGCGACTTTATATATACATTCATTGTTTCAACAATAATTTTCGTTACTTTTTAAAACAATAGAATTTTGGGGGGGGG